AGTAATTAAAACACTTTTTACTTATATAAAGTAAGGTGAGTATTTCCTTAAAATATTATCAGATTGTACTATTTTTGTTTTTATGTACTTAAAGATTATATAAAAAATTATTATCAAAATTTATAATGTGGTAATTTTTTTCCAATAAATTCATTTTTTCAACTGATATGGGTGTGGGAACGATGATAAGGAAATTATTTTCTTTTTTTTTGCTGAAATACTTGCTTATATTTTTTTTACTATTATTATTTCATATACTGTTTACAAATTGATTATCGCAATTAAATATCATAAAAATTTTGTTTTTTTTTTTTATTTTTCTCTTCATTTATAAAAAATAAAGTAAAGTACTCAACTGTGTGTTGGTCATATACGTACACACTTATATAACAATGTTTTAGTACGTAAACAATTATGAATATACAGCTAGAGTGAATTAAGAATCAGTGAGAGAATTTAAACAAGAATAAAAAGAAAAAAAACAAGCCAATCGCCAATATCATATGAAATTTATTTTTAATTAAAAAAAAAACACAAAATTAAAATAAAAAAAGCTTTTTGACATTCTTTAGTACTTAGTATTATGCCTGCGTAACAAAAAATCACTATTAAAATGACTAAAGTGACGTGTTGAAACCACATAGTTAAGTTGTAGGTTGTGAAAATGTTTATTTTTTATCACTCGCAATTTGTTTTGTACTTTTTTTTTTTAAATTGAATGAATAATTTTTTAATACGGTTTTGAAGAGTATAATAAAATTGTTTTTTAATTTATTCAAAAATCTGTAGAAGTGTATTATGCTAAATACTTAATGTGTAAAAGGCGTACAAGTGTTGTACTCGTAATAACTGTAATAAAAATTGCATATAACTAGGTAGTTTTAACTAAGAATATTAAAATTAGCATGTTAGTTTAAAAAGTTAAGGCAATTTTTAAAAAGAAAAGAAAATTTTGATCAGCCTTGCAAGAATAAGAACTAATCTACACTTCAACTAATATACATAACTAATATTAGGAATTCGATATTTAATTATAAAAGAAATTACAGTCGTCTATTGGGATAAATATTAACTATTTAACAGCTGTTAAATACATCAATAAAACTGTTATACACACCCGTATAACTGTTATACGCATCCTTATAACTGTTATAACCATTTGTGCAGCTTCCACACACATCTCTATAACTGCTATACTAACTTCAATAACTGTTATACTCAACTTTATAACTGTTATACGTACTTATATATAACATATAGCGTATGTATAATGTATAGTTTATACACACATCTTATGAAAATATTACACACTCATAATACATACACACTTGCGTACATACAATTATAGATATAATTTTTAGAATAAAACAAATAAGTAATTAAATATTAATTAAGTATTCTCTTGCCACAGATATCCTATAGATGGTTGATTCTGAACGAAATTTTGTTGTTTTACATATATATCTTTTTTTGGTTTGGGTATAGATAGAAATTTTAGAATTCCATACGAATGATTTGGTAAAGATAAAAATAAAATAAAGGAATATACTTAATATGTTTAAAGAAAATTGAGTTGCTTTTTTTTATTATTATTTTGTAAGACTATTATTATTTTTACTATAATATTTAAAATAGTAAGCATAAGTAATTAATATTACAATTTAATTCAAAAATTTTACTGTCACTTTAATTGTGAATTGAATACTAATTATTTATAAAGTAACAAATTATAAATTTGAACTTATTTTTTTGTGCATGTATATAAGTATAACACTTAACAAATAGTATATATATATATATGGCTTATAAGTCTAAATATGCATAGAAAATTTTAAATGATTTATGACTTTTTGTTTCCATAAACATAAATATACATACATATAATTTTTTTTGTAAGAATATAAAATTTTTATTTTCATTTATAATTATTAATAAATTATTTTGATAGGAAAGGAAGAATATGTAAAATATTTACAAACAATTTACATAATTATATATATGTATACATATATGTATATATATATATATATATATATATATATATATATATATATATATATACAGGAAATGATATATATATATATATATCATTTCCTGTATGATTTTTATTACTGTAATAAAGAAATATAGCTTTTTAAAATATAAATTTAATATTTTTGAAAGACAAAAAATTATGAAATGTTTTTTTAACGATTTCAATACTTATAATTAAGTTTTATTGATTGAATTAAACAGCTAGTTAAGTCGAATAAAACAAAGCATTACACTTAAGTATATTGGCAAGTCGAAAACTTACATTCAACTGAAATGAGTGAGACAACAGTAAAGTTGAATATTTATTTTGACACTTCGCTTATTTTGACCACATTGTTTTTTTAATTTAAAGATGTAAAACAAAAAAAATTATTAAAATGAAGAATCTCGCATGTTAATCTGCCTATATTAGTTGAAATATAAACTCTTAATTAATATCTTATATTTATAATTTAAATTAATTATTTAATTTAATTGTCATTTGATTAATATGCAAAAAATTCTATTAATTTTAAGGCAGTATAACAAAATTATTCTGTAATGCAATATTCATTATAGTTAAGTATGAATATTAAGGATTTTGGCAACAATCGAAAAAGTTTAATACTCGTATAATTTTAATAAAAACACAATATAACCTAGGTGCTTACTTATTATCTACACTAATTTTATATTTTCTTTATTCTAAAATGTTTGCATGTAATTCACACTAAATTACATTAGTTACTTATTTACTTTTATTTTTTAAATTTGAATTTTAAATTTATAAAGGTAAATATCTATGTATATAAGAACTACAGTGTTATACATATAACCATGTATAACACTATACCAAGCTATATAACAAATTATAACATTATAGTTCTTATATATAGGTACCAACTACCAAGTACACCTATTTGGATCCATTTCAACATAAAGAAAGAAGTAAAAAGTAAAATGAGAGAAAAAAGTTAAAATCGTTTTTTGTTTTTCTTTTTCATTTTTTTTTTGTTATTTTTCTTAAAAATTGTTAATTCTTCTCATTTTATCATCACCGTCCTTTTATCCAATTTTAAACAGAATTAATTTATGTATTAAAAAGCAAAGCCAAAAAAATAAAAACCGTAGAATAAAAAGTTTAAAAAAAATATTTTATAACTAAAACGTATATAAGTATACGTATATACATACATAAATACATATTTATAGAGAATAATAATAATAATAAAAAAAGTTAACAAAGTTTTTCAGGAGCGCAACAACCTTTTAAAATTATGTAAAAAATTCTTGAATACATAACATAATAAATAAATAAATAAATAATAAAAGAAAATAACGCGACAATCCTTTTCTCTTCCCTACATAAAAATCCCTACAAAAGTTGCACATTATATGGTAAGGTGAACACACGGCCAAATACTTGTGAGCATTTTTAGTAAATTTATGTGGTTTATCGGATAGTGTTAGTTAAAAAATGAAGAGAATATGAAAATTAAACCGGAGAGTATGGGGAGATAATGGGAAAATACTGACTGAGTACACATCTAAGATCAAAAAAAATATAGAATTGGGAGAATATAAGAGTGCTTAAATTAACAATGACAATTGACAGGTAAAGTTCTGTAGGAATAGAAAATCTACGTGTCGTTCTAAATAACGGAATAATAAACGAAATTGAATAATAACCATATTTTCTTTAATTTTTGATTCCTTAACACGAACACTCCATGAACCGAAATTATCCCTAGCACGAGAATTTTTTCATGCCACTATCAAGTCAGCTGCCTCTTACAACATAAAATAAATGGAAACCCAAAAATTAGTGCTTTCAAAATCTTAGATTATATTTTGCTTTAGTATAAACGCAGTTTTGGTACATAATATATACAATATTTAAAATCAAAATAAGTGTCCCTACCGAATCTGTACTAAAATTCACTCATGAATTTTGATAAGAGTATTATATAAAATTCACGCCAAACCGCACGTTAATATCCCAATGAATATAAGTATGTACGTAAGTACACACAGATTTCATCATATTTACATTGAGTGAAATATAAACATAGAAGCATATACGTATATGTAGGTGTATAACAAAATAATTTTTTTTTCGAATTGAAAGCGAAAAAAAAGGACAAAAAAATATAAGAAAAGCAAAAAAACAAAAGTCCTTTAAGGCTTAAAAAATCTTTTGAAGCACGATGAGAATGAACTTTTTTTTTTTTGCTTTAAAAAACATACTGTTATACGTTGCTTATATACTTAAATATTGGTATAATATATATATATATATATGCATGTATATACATATACTTGGGTTATTGAATTTTATAATATAAATATGTATGTATAAATAGATCCAAGTAGATATTATTATACTGACAAAACATACTGTTATACACAATGCTTCGTACACAAATATTATATTGAGCTTTATTTTTGTGTATGCTTGTGTATATGCACATAATATAAGACAAGGTAAAATAAAAGTATAAACAAAAATGAAACGTAAATAAAATAAATCAGAAGAGAAAGGGAAAAATATCTCGAGGAGAGAAAAGGAAATGAAAACAGAAAAGTCCTAACAGAAAAATAAGAACGAAAAAATTTTAAAATAGAATAAAATAAAAAATAAAACTAGTTTTTTCAAATCTCAACTCAACTACTCAATATCTTTTCATTTTCTCCCCCTTTCTTGTTGTTTTTTATACTCAAATCAAACTCAAATAAAATTTAATTTTAAACTCTCTTTTATATTTTAAAAAGATCGATACCCAACAACATCACAATGGGATGGGATACGATGACGAAATATTTTTCCTTATTTTGATAAATGGTTCTATCTACAATAAAATGTTGCCAAACAGAAAATTTTTTTTTATTTTGGAGAGTAAGTTTGGACCAAATTAAAATCGTATATAAGAATTTAAAAAATATTTTATATTGATATTATAAAAGAATCATACAAAAATTCCACATACCTGTCAGATGATTCAGAAGAATCATAACGATCTGCACATCTTTTCTTTTTATTTCTACTGTCTTCTGCAGTATCCTGATTTTGTTGTTGCTTTTGCTGTTGTTGATATTTTTGTTCAATTTTATCCGGTTTCATTTGTGGTTTTTTAATAATATTATTATTATCCAAAATTAAATTTGTTTTTGAATTATTATTATTTTTAATATTATTTTGTTGATTTAATTCTTGTTTTTCATCATCATTTCCATTTATTTTATTTTTTTCATTATCTTTTTCTTCGTTTTCATTCAATTTTTGTTGATTATTAATTATTTTTTCATTTGATATATTTCCTTCTGTTATTTGTGGTACAGTTTTTGTTGCTGTTGTTGTTATTGTAGTTGTGGTAGTTGTAGTTGTTGATGAAATATTATTTAAATCTTTTAAAGATGTTAATTTTATTATTGAATTTTTAATTGATTTTATTGATGGGATTGGTGTTGGTGTTGTTGTTATCATTTCAGTTTTTGTTGATATTGATGATGTTACTGATGTAGTTGATGTTGATGTAACTGTTGTTATTGTTGTTGATGTAACAATTAAACCATCTGATAATAATGGCGATAATAATGACGATGATGTGGATGATGATGACGATATTGGTAATGATAATGCTCTTACTGGTATTGAAGATAATGATGATATTAACGACGACGATGTTGATGCTGATATTGATGAATAGTCTTGTGGTTTTAAAAATTGTTGTTGTTGTTGTAATATTGCTGATGGTGATATTGATAATAATTTACTAATATTATTATTATTAGTAGCTTTAATATTATCATTATCCATTTTTTCTTTTATATTTATATTATTTTTAATTAAAATATATGGATTTAATTGATAATTATTATTATTATTATTGTTATTATCATTGCTATTATCTTTATTATTATTATTATTATTATTATTAGTTTTAATTAAAGATAAATTATCATTGTTATTATTATCACTAGAGTTGAGACCAATTGTGGTACTATTAGCACTATTAACAACTTTACTATTATTACTATTTTTATTATTATTATTATTTTGTAATATATTTGAATCAAATAATAATTTTGATTTTTTATTTTTTAATTCATCTTCTTTATTTTTTAAAAAATCATTCGCTATTGCCGGCGCTGTTGCTGTTGTCGCTACTGATGTTGTTGTTTGTGTTGTTGTTATTAAATTTTTCATTGTATCAACATTTTTTGTATTATTTATTATTGTATTACATATATTCACAATATTATTTTTAGTTGAACAATTATTTTTATTTATCTCTTTACTATTATTATTAATTTTAAATAATTGTTTAATATCATTATTATTATTATTATTATTATTACTGATGTTATCATAAGATTTTCGCCGATTATTAATTATTTTTTTATTATTTTGTATATTATTAGCATTTTTCGTCATTATAATATTTTTATTATTATTATTACTGTTTATGATACTTAAACTATTTGTATTTAAATTAATTAAAGAGGGTGCTATTGTATAATTACTATTATCTAATAATTTAATATTATTAGTAATAGTTGAAACATTTATTGTTTCTGAAACATTTATGCTTAATTGTTTATAATTACTATTGCTATTATGTGTTAATATTGCTGTTGTTGTTACTGCTGTTGTTGCTGTTGCTGTTATTGTTGAGGTTTTAATTATTGTTGAATTTTTATTAGAATATTCATTTTTATTACAATTATTTTGTTTTTTTGATGATTTTACTAATAATTCATTTTCTTCATTAATATTTTCTAATTTTTTATTATTAGAATTATTATTTTGTTCTTTTAATAATGAAAAATTATCCGCCATTTTATTTTTATAATAACATTTTGAAAATAAGTTTCCATTTTGATAATATTTTTTATTAAATTAATTTTTATTAAATTTTATAATTTAAATGTTGTAATTTAATATAAGTAGAAATTTTTTTCATGTTTTTTTGCGATTTTTTTAAAATAATTTTTTTTTTGTAATTTTAATTACAATTTCGATAATTTTTATTATAATAATTCTACGTACACAATATTTATAATTATTTTTATTTATTCTACATATTTACTTACACTTCAATAAATATAATTATTATTATTTTACGATTTTAATAAGATTAAAAATAAAACACCGAATTTTTATAATTGCTTTTATATGAAAGAAAAAAACAAACCGAATTTTATACCGAATTATTTTTTATAAAATTTTATTTAAAATTTTAATTGTCATTTTTTTTCGGGTTGTTGAGATGTGCTGAAATTAAAAAGAATGATATGTTTTAGATTTTTATTTAAAAAAATTGTAATTTATTATAATTATTAAGTATAAGTGTGTATATAATTATGAAAATATTAATCTAAATTAAAGTAAATTTATAAATACGTACTGAAATCTTTTTCGCAATTGAATATTTCTTTAATATGAATAAAATTTGAACATAAATTAAAAATGTTCAAAACTATATTATTTATAACAAATATACTTAGTTACTTATACTTACATAGTATTTTGCATAAGGTAGAAAAAATTTCAAGGGACAATAGGATGATTCAATTTCGAAAAAAAAATTGTATGGCTAAGGGTGGTAGATATACTCGTTTTCGAACTACAGGCTGTTGAAAAAAACATGTACCAGATGTTTCCTGCACATAAATAAATATTTATAACCTCGGAACCATGCAACATAGAGAACAATCAATTTGATTTAATGCATAATTTTTAAGTAAAAGCTTGAATCTTAATAATTGAAATTTAATTTTAGTTTCAAATATGATGTATTTAGTAAGTGTAATGTTAATATGTCCTTAAAACTATTATATACTTAGAATTATTATATAAATTTAGTTAAATATATGAAACACCTCAAAATAAAAATTGCAAAATTATGCAGAATTGAAAGAAGTACCGTTTGTAAGTTGATATTTATTCAATTATTTAAGTATATGGTATTTGTTGCGAACAAGTAGTTATTGTTGGTAACCGATAAATACTGCTTGAAATTCATAAGGGCGATGTAGTCATACCAATGGGTGATCTGATCTCGAAAGTATGTAGCGATAACAGCGGGCTATAAAAAATTATACAGGAACGAACTAAGAAGAAGAAAACAACAATTGAAAAATACTACTTAATAGAACTTTGTCAAATCTTCGTACTTCTTATCTATGGTACCATTTTACCCCACAAAGTCATACATAAATATACTTGATCCTCACCAAACGGAAAAACAAGAAACCAAATTTACCACATGGTAAGAACTTGGTAAGAGTAGAAGAGAAGCAGACATAGATAGCGATCACAAAGTGCTAACAAGCGATATCAAACAAAAAATTGAAAGAAAGCGACAGTATAACAATAGAAACAAACGCTACAATACACAGAAACTCTAGAACTCTTAAACTGCAGACACATAAGCCAGTAGACTGTGAGAAAAGTAGGCTGTTTTTTGTTCATTCGGAGGTATTTAAACACCCTGCTTCGAGAATACAATTGAATCTCATGTTCCTCGCATACATATACCTATAATATATGCATTTATGTATAAAACACAATTTTATAGGAAAAACTAAAATTTTATTCACAATATTTTTAATTTCTAAGTATTCATGTAAGAATATAAGTATTTTATATTCATATATGTATATGTAAGTATATAATCAATTTATTATCAATTTAGTTTTTCTATTTTTTTTTTTTAATTCTATTTTTACTATCGTTTTAATTTATACGTCGACATAAAAAAGAAAAATTTAAACATAAAATTTATGATTACGATTTTTTACAACAAAATCATTTTGTATCTCATATTTTATTTTTTAATTTTAGTTTTTATTGTTTTTTTTTTTTTTTTTTTTCATTTACAAAATTTATTTATAAAACTTACATTATTTATGTATATATAATACGCTATATATGTATATAAATATAAATGAATAGATTTTTCTCTCTTTATTAAATTTTTAAATTGATTTTAGAGAAAAAATAATAAAAATATTTTTTTTTATATTGGATATACATACAAAAATACCCTCATAACTGTATAATACGAGTATAAGAGTTTTTCTTTGTTTCCAATTTATACATTTTTAAGTATTTAATAAATCCCACATACAGAGATTGATTCAATATATATATATATATATGTATATATGCATATTAGTATATAAGTAATATGTGAACAAAAAAAAAATAATATTTTTATATTATTCATGAAGATTTTAATAATATTACTTATACAAAATATGTATAAATAATTTTACATATTCATAAATATTTATATAAAAATTATATAGACATGTATTTATATATATATATGTATAGGTACGCATTTTTAAATAGTTATTCTCACAGTTATTATGCATGACATAGAGCATCTGGAAAATAGAAGGAAATATTAAGTATATTCTAGAATCTAGATCAAAAGTTGACTAAGACTATTCACAATTCGAAATTAAAATACTTAAAAAAATAGAAGAATATTATATTTAACCAAATTGCATATAATTATATTAACAGGGAACTATAAATTATTTTAAATTTAATATTGGTTTTGTAATTTGATCACATGTATATATATGTACACACTCATATTAGCTCTAAATACTCACAATAGCTCTTAGTCTATACAGCGAAATAATTTTTTATTTTAACAAATCCTAAGTGTAGTGCTCACTCCTAGTTCGCTTTTCTAATCTCCACCAAAAATTTCTGTACCTTTACTTTATATGAGGTACTTTTCGACGGTTTATTTTCAAAGTTAATAAGTTATAAGTACAAGAAAAATGTATGATTTCCATTTTACAAATACTGAAATTAATTTATATATGTAGGTATTTGCAACTCACTACAAGATTTTCAGGAAATAAATTAAAATATCTCTTACTAAGTATGCATTTAATTTAAAAAATTTTGCAACTGTACAAAACTAAATATATCGTGAATTCCCTATATTTAGTTTATGAAAAAATAATGTTTCATACAAAAAATTAGTACCTAATCGTATTAGTTGCAAAGTTCAATTTGAATTATATGATTACTTGTCTAAAAACTTATTTTTGCAATTTAAATTTAAAATTTAAATTACATTATTAATTAAAAAATAATTAATTTTTTTTATTAATTTTGTGTTTAATCGTCAACAAATGAACATGTACGTAGACCTGAAACACGTACGTACTATGTATGATATAAGTATCAAATATATGTATGAAGTTAAAAAGCATAACAGTTATACGAAATGCGTATCACAAATAAGTAAATTATTAATTAAATTATTAAGTAATTTACTTTATTAATTAAACGATAAGTCTATTATGTTATACTTAACTAATTTCCTATTTCAAATTGTAAAACATAAAAATCCCAAATCTATAAATTATACTTACAAGATTTCTTAAAATTGCAATAAAAGAACAGAATCAAACAAAAAAAAAAAAATAAAATAAATTAAAACTTGAATAAACCGACGGCATTTTTCTTTATAACATTATTTTTTTTACTTAAAAAATTTTTACCTACATTTATATATAAATACATATATGCATGCATATACTATATTCGTATTTATAATTCTAAGATATGTTTTGTATACTCGTTTTTTATACGTATGAAAGTTCCTTATCGTTATACGTATGTATATCATTATATAATAAGCACATTTATTTGCTCGAAGCATAAAAAAATACATGAATGTATGTATGTATATAGTCATATAAGAATGCATTCCTATTCTTTAAATTTTTTATTAAAGAGTAAAATGAAAAACAAAACATAAGAAATAAAATTAAAGGCAAAATGAAAATAAAAAAATAATCAAAAATTAAAAATAAAAACTATTAAAGTTTCCCTCTTTTGTGGCCCCATTATAAGACCATCATCTGTAATTAACTGCTTCCAAAAACTTCATCATCAAATAGTATAAAATGCACACAATTATACACATTTTATATATGACTTTATCTCTTCATATATAGCACGTATACATGTTTATATACATACATATAACAGTTTATTTATGTATAAATATACTACACATACGACCATCACAATAAATGCATAAATTCCATATCATACATAATACTATATCATACATATTGCTATATCATACATTTTATACTATATCATACATAATGCTTGCTATACATTATAATTATTATATAACATTTTATACATTTTATTTGTATGGATATCTTCACATCCATTAAATTTACAAATACTCAGTCATATAACATATTAAAATGCTTATTATGTACATATGCAAGTAAACGTATACATAAATATGTATGTATTTATATTCCCCATAAATGAATATTTAATGTTTGAAAAACTAATAAGTCTGAAGATATACGAGTAATATTATGTTTGCATGTATGATTTGATAATTTTAAAGAAAAAAAGAAATAAGAAAAATTATAAAAAGAAAAAAACATATGATTACAATTTCCTACTCGGAAAATTATGACATACAAGTCACACGAAAAAAATACACAAAAAAAAGAAACAGAAATAAAAAAATAAAGAAAAAAAAAAACAGTTAAAAAGGAAAATTATTATAGGAAAAAGAAAGAAATAAAAAATTTTCTGAACAAGGCGAAATTATTTTTATACAGCAAAATATATAATATTAAATACGCATCACAATAATATATACACATATTATTGTGTATAATATATGAAGTTTTATATATATATATATACATATAATAATTATATACCTATAATAAAATATTATTATATTAATCAATATCATTATTAATATACTATATTTGTAATAAAGAGCCATAATATAAAATATTGCTATACTTTGTATATATGCACATGCACATACGAGTATATCACTCGTGTATCTGTATATCAAAATTATATGTATACGTATAATCACATTATATACTTTCTTATTGCAATATATGTAATTTCTGTTTGAAAAGCAAGTGTAACTTCATACTTATTTACATGAATATACACTCTTTTTACTCTCTTTTTATGCACATATTCATTCTGTCACATCTATTTATGTAAGTATATATATCTATATCCATTTTACATACTTCATATTAAATAAAATAATAAAAATTATTTCTACTACATATTTTTATTTCTAAAGTATATATAACACATAAATATACTGTATAACATTATGCATAACAATATACACAGTGTATTGTATAACTTATATAGTATATTATACATACATACAATGTGGCATCAACACGTTTTTTATTTTTCTTACTCAATTTAGAAAAATATAATATAGAAAAGATAATATACATATATACATACTTATTTTGTATACAAAAAAATATTTTTATAACAATATTCATGTTGGATATAATGTTGTTATACATTCTATACAATTCTCATATACTCTCATATACTTGTTTAGTATAAAAGAAATAACATACACAAACACAATTACATTTATGTTTTAAAAAAGAAAAAGTTTACAAAAAAAAAAAAAAGTAATGACAAAAATAAAAATACATAATAATAAAAAAATAATAACAATAATAATAAAAACAAAAATTCTTAAGTAACATACACAATATACATAAAATTATAATTTTTATGATATAAGCCTTATATACAAACCATATGTAATGTATGCTGTTATGTTAAAAACCATATGTATATGTGTTATGTTATGTTCTATTCGTATATAATAAAATGTTATAATTTATAAAATGAAAAGAAAAAAAAAAAGAACAATTATCTTCATACAATCTATTTTTTTTTTCTGTTATACATACATATATCCATATGTTAATACATAAATAATCAGTACGTAACAACGAACAATTTTAAAACACAAGTATAACAATATATTATTTATAATGTATAATGTTCTATAGAATTTTCTCTTTTAATTTTTCTCTTTTTCTTTTATCTCGCTCAATTTTTATGTGCATATAATTATTATATTCAAATATGAAAATTAAAAAATGTTGTTTTATTTATTGATTAATATTGCTTGCTTACTTCTTTTTACTCCCCTCACTATATTTGTACATATGTATATAAATACAATACTCTTTTAAAATAATATTTCCTACTCTTATATTATTATTCTATTCTATACTGTTTTGCCTTGCCTTGCCTTACCTTATATGCATTTATTCTCTTCCGTTTCTCTATATTTTTATCTCTTATTTTTTCATGGTTCATTTTTTTTATTATATTATATACCTATATTATATGCAACTTCATATTATAAAATAATGCTAAGAAATTAATAAAATAATAAAAACAAAACAATAAAATAAAATTCTCATTGAATACACATATTTTGTTTTTGTTTCACTGATAATTTTTATGTTGGGAGAATAAAAGAAAAAAAAACAAATGAGCTTGCGCATTAATCTAGAGAAATTCAATTCAATGTTTAAATAAATAAATATTATGCTCTCATTTTTATGAAAAATTTTATTGTTGCTTTTTATATAATAAATAAAATCTAGTATGGGATTTTATATTAAAAAAATATATGTAAATATTATGAACTTTCCTTTATTTTCCCTATATATTAGAAACATAATTTTCTCAATTAATTTTTTTAATATTAAAATTTATTAAAAAAAAATTTAATATTTCCATCTCTATGTATATTTGTATACATATGTATGTATATATTTCAAGTTTTATAATTATAACTTTTTCAATAATTCTTACGCAAAATTATTTACATACAACTACACATTTTTATAGATTTTTATAAATTTTTGTAAGTTATTCTCTTTTTTTTTTTTTTTGCTCTTTCATACTCTTTCAATGTCAGCTTTCTATGTTTTCTTGTTTAAAGAGAAAATATTAGAGAAGAAATTCAATTATTTACCTCTCATCCGTATGTGGTTTATGAATAAAAAAAAAACAAAAAAAAAATATATTATGTACACAAATATACAATTGAATTTTGATTTTAATTTTTAATATTTAGGAAATATGTTTGGTTATGTACTACGGCTTATAATTTATTTAATATATTTAATATTGTTGTAATCCGATAAATATAAGTTCTATGCCATTTTTTCTATCAAATTTCATTAAAATCATTATTTATACAAATATACAATACAATTCAATTCCTACTCATTAATGTTTCTCATTAAATAATACTATTCTTTCACAAATTTCACTCACTCTCTCTTTATTCTCATTGTTATTTCTTTTAATATCTCTTTCTCTTCCATCATATTATTTTTAAACAAAATTTTATTTTAACATGTTATATTGAATTTTCAATCAAAATATTTTTAAATACACTTTAAATTATTCAATTTAATTTATTTCTAAATAATTTTATTAACTTATACTATTAATTAATTGTATTTTTAATATAATATTTCATTTTTATAAAATAATTATTTAATATTAAATTTTTTCTATAAATTTCATTGACATTTAAATGAAAATGTCTAACAATAAACTACAATTTTATGTGTTGAATTTTTTCAAGTCAGCAGCACTCACTAAACTACAAAGCAACAGAGCATATTAATTTGTTTTTCTCTTCTCCAAAAATTAATTCAAGAGAAAAATGTTTTGGTTTTTGTTTTTTTTTTTCATTAAATTTCTCATTAAAAATATGTATGAAAGCAATACAAATAGATAGTTTATAATAATATACATGTATTATAGAAACTACATAGCTACAATTTCATATTACTAAAAAATATTTTGGTAAATAATAATAATAAACATAAATAAAATTTGAAATTTCATATTAATTATGTTGCAAGAGAATAAATAACAAATTCTCTCATTGCGAGAAGAGAATCAATAAATTCAAAATAAGCATTGAGTAAAAAATGAAACAAGAGTAATATATAAAATGATAATAAAATAGCTAATAATAAATAAATAAATAATAATGATAAGAGAGAAATTAGAGAAGAAGAGAAAATTGAATATTTTGAAGAAAAAAAAAATAATTTCACTTTTTATGTACATAAATATAAATAATGTTTGTTTTCTTGTTATTGTTATTCTTATTATAAAAAAAAAGTGCAATTTAAGTCCAATATTGTTTTTATACTTTTTTTTTATTTATATTTTGTTTTTTTTCTTATATTAATTTCGATTTTTTTAATAAATGTGCATAAACTTTATATACATACATATACATAGTATATAACAATATTATATTTATCATAATTATTTATAAGAGTATATATGTATATTATAATAACAAAGTTATATACATATAGATATAATAAATATAATTTTGTAAATATAATAATGAAAAATGTATATGAATATTGTACATGAGTAAGTAACAATAATAATAATAATAATAATAATAATAATAATAATAATAATAATAATAATAATAATAATAATAATAATAATAATAATAATTCAAAATAATAATAAAAATATTGCATATATAAACAAGTATATATTCGGTTTATTCTCTTACTTTTTCTTATATATGTACAGTATATATACACATTCACATGGCATACACACATCAGAGGTAAGAAGAATGTACCAAATATTTTGCCTAACAATATTTTTTGCATCTTTTATAAGAAGTAAAATAAAAACTTATGCATAAATTACATAATTTTAAATTGTTATAATGCAATTTGTATACATTAGTATTACAGTTACATATAACTAAATATTAAGATATATGATTTATATAAATGTACTATAAGATTTTTAAAATATGTACTATAAAATTTAGTACATTTTTATGTAAAAATTTGTTTGTATATAAATAAGTATACCTAATTTAAAAAATAAGTAGGAAATAATTTTTTGTAAATGCCATTTAAATGTATGTAATTTAATTATTTAATTTAAGTCACTTATCGAAATTGAATGCTTTCCATTGAATTCTATTTCTTTTTTCGTATTTTAAAGAAATAATTTTAATAATAAATGGTAGATTAATTATAATTATTAAATTAAAGTATAATTATAAAAGTAGAAATTATTTAAAGCAAAAAGAAAGAAAATTTTATACTTAATTGATTTGAAAACCCCTAAAATTTACAACATATTGGAGACCAAAAATTAGAATTCAGAATGTGTTATAACTTTGTACGGAATTCAGGACAAATTGGCACATTCACTCATTCACTGAATTCTTAAAAGTTTCCATACTCATAAACTGTAAATATGAGTACGTACGTGCATTTTAAATTTTTTTTCAAAAATGTACATATAACAAAAAAAAAACCTACTAATATTGTACGTATTTATTAATTATACTTATTTTATGACTTACAATTAATTAAATTCTATGAAAATTTTCCAAAAATCCAAATAATGTAATTTTTCCATTGATTAAACTTATATACTTAATAAGAATTTGAAAATTTTAAAATTTGAATAAATACTATTAATGAATATTTAAGTATAACACTTTTTTTTTAATAGGATGCTTTCAACAAGGTTATCACATTTTTGAGGAAAATTTCATAGAATTTTATATATCACAATTTTACTAAGAAATTAATTATTTAATTATACTTATGAACTGATTTACCTTTATTATATATTTTTTTTGTAATCCTCTCCGTCTCTCTCTGTTTCTCTCTCTCTCTGGTTTTATAATACAATTTTATTTATTTAATATTTTATCAGAATTAATTACACGAACAATAATTTTTTTGTATATAAAATATTCTTCTTGTAATAATTATTTTAAATTTATTTTAATTTTTACAAATATTTATTACTTATTATATTGTTATACACTTAATATTTTGAAAGATATTAGTAATAAATTGTTATATTAGTATGTAAATTATGATTTTTTTTTTTGTTTTTAGATAAAAATGATTATACTTAAATTTTATATGAATATTTTATATTTTTAATTTTATTTTATTGTTTTCATTTTTTAATTATACACACAAATATTATTGTTATATTATGTAATTATTACTGTTATATATATTGTAGTTATTTACTTAAAAAAAATAACAAAATTGTTATTTTTCAACATAAATTTTTTTAAATACATAAGAGTAGTGTTATTAAAAGTATAAATTATTTCGTTTTTTTTTTCTTGTTTTATATTAAGTAAGTATAAAAAAAAAATTTTTTTTCTATATTATATACTTACTTATACTCACTATGTAAACATTTAAATTTTCATTTTTCACAATAAATATACTTATATATGCTGGTATATAAGTAAGTAATTCTGTTATATTTTATATTGTTAAAATACATTAAACTTGTATATGTATATAAGTAGAAAGTATAATATATAAATGCGTTTTGTATAACAAGTACAGAATTTTTTTTTTTTAATGCACTTCTCCCTTTCAACAAAACATTTATTTATATACAATATGTATGTATATTGTATTCAATATGTATATATACACAATATTTATGTATAATTATATATGAGTGTGTATAATACTTTTTCTGTTTGTATAATATAAAAGATATACTTAAGTATATATATATATATATATATATATATAAATATATATATATTTTTTTTTTTTGTTTTTAACTTTGGAAATTTTTTATTTTTACATATAAATTCAATTTTTTTCTATTCTTGTTTTATGTTATGCCATTTATTTGTATATATACTTTTATGTAAGTTCATATTATATACTTATGTTGATATATAAGTATATATATATATATATATATATATATCAAATATATATTATTATATTTTTAGATTTTTATTATATATTTTATTTTTTATGTATAACTTTTATACTTGGTATATATAACATATAAGTGGAAGAAGAAAAATAATTTTCTTATTTACTTGTTATTTTTATTCATTTTTTTTACCCAATCTTTTATGTATCTATACTAAAAAAAATATATTTTTTTTTGTTTTTCCTTGTTCCTTAAGTATTTTGTAGGTAATTTTGTTTGTTGATGTTATTTTTTTTTATTTTCCACTCTTCTTATTATATTGTTATATTTTCACTTAAAAAAAAAAAATTTTTTTTTCTGAAATTTAGAAAAGAATTTTTTATTTCTTGTAAAAATTTTAAGTACCTACTCACTTACTTATGTACATACATAATATGTGGAACCTAGTTAATAGCAAATTTTTTGTTTTTCAGTTTTCTTTAATTAAAATTCTCAAATAAGTATTTTACAAAATTAGATTTGTTTTGTTTTTTTAGTTTATTTTGATTTTATTTTGTTATTCTTTTAATCCCGAAAATTAAATACCTATTCCAATTAGATTTTTTTTTATATATATACTAAGTATGTATTATTGTATGTAATTATATATTTGAATAAAAATATTCTAAATAGACATTTATTTCATTTATATACTAATTCGTTAGAATGTGATGATTATAATTTTATATTTTAAAAAATTAATTACATATAAATATAATTTTGTTATACAAATTTTTAATTCTTATTAAATGGGTATATATATGTACTTAAGTGTGATATATACATATACTTTTTTTTATTATTAGTAATATTTTGAAATTTTTTTTTTTAATATTTTGTCGATTATTATATACATATATCAATATGTATATATATGTATATAATATGTTTATTTATATAGTTATTATGTATTAGTTATTTTTTATACAATATATTTTTATATAACATAACTTTTTCTATTTTATATTTATATTTCACTTTCCCCTCTCTTCTTCTTATAAATTGTAATATTATAACTTCCACTTTAATAATGATATATATATATATATATACGATATATATATATAAATTTTTCTCTTCAAAGAATTTTTTTGTGTTATATAAAAAAAATTTTACATACACATATATATATATAGCAAATTTTTGTATAATATTATATTATTATACAATATATTATATATTATAATCACTTATATACTTATATATTTAATATGTTATATAAATACGTTTAATATATATTAGGTATAGGTATGAAAATAGTTATGATTCTGAATGTATTACATGTAGCTATGTATGTATAACATTTTTTTTTTTTTGTTTTTATTATATACCCACTTTGAATATATTTTTATCATACATATAATATGTACTTATTTACCGAAGAAAAATATTATTTAAGAAAATTTTAAATATTTTTAATTTTATATTGAAATTCTTATTATTGTTTTATTAAATATTATTCATTTATTTATCAATTACGTATAATAGTTAAGTTTATTTCAATTTTAGATATTACCCGTGTATAATAATAACGTTTTTCCGTTTTTTTTTTTGAGGAAAATAGGGGAAAAAAAAACACCAGTATTTTTTCGCCTAGCCTTTATTTTTTTTACATAAATATTCAAAATAATTTTTAATAATTTTTAAATAAACACACACAATTTTTTCGGTATATGTTTAATTGTAATTTTAAATTAAATTAGAAAAAAAAAAAATAATATTAATGGCAGTTTTTTTATAACATTTTTCTTTTTATTTTGTAATAAATAAAATTATATTTGCACTAAACAAAATTTCTCTTATATATTTTATATAATTTCTCTCAAATACACTTTTTATTAAATTCTAAATTCACTTTTTATTAAAGTGTTATATTGGTAATTAATTAATTATTAATAGAATTTGATTTTTATGAAAATTATTAATTTATGATAAAAAGAGAAAAACAATAAAATATGAAAACACTCTCATACACTTTTAAATTTTATAAATTTATATTAATTTCTTTTTTTAATTGAAACACAAAATATCTTTTATACTTAATTTCCTCGTTTCAAAATTTATTTTTTTTTTTTTTAATTAAATTGGAGAGGAGAGTAAAGAAAATGAATTTTCTTTGCATTTGCTTGACAATGCCGAAGAATAATGAGAAAATAAAATAAAATTTTTTTTTTAAAATTAAATGAAATTAAAAGTGTGGAATAAAAAAAAAATATGCAGAGATTTTTTCTTTCTTTTTTTTATCCGAAATCATTAATTTTTTTTTTTAGATTTTTCACTTGTAAATTCTCTTTATCTTTTATACTTAGATTTTCTTTTTTATATTCTATAAAAATTATTTTGATTTTCTTCTTCTTTTTTTTTTTATTTAGTATTATAATATTTTCTTTTTTTTGTATAATTTAAAAATATTAATTAATTAGAATAAAAAAAAAATTTAACCGAGAAAATTACACATATATAAACTTAAGGCTACCGCACCACTCACGATCAGACGACGCACTGAATGAAAAAAAAAAAAATTCAATTTTTATTTTGCTTTTTTCTACAATAGAAGAAAATAATAAAAAAAAAAAATTTAAAATAAAGAAGTTGTTCTCTTCTGAATTTAAAAATAAAAAAAAATTAATATAAAATTGTATATTTATATATATATATACATACGTACAGGTTAATATAATGTTCTCAATCTCTTAAATTTACATACTTATATACAAATGTAAATAAGTATAAAAAAAAAATTATATTTATATATTTAATCATTTTCATGCAATTTCTCTTAAATATACATGCATTTTTTTGGCGACAAGAAAGAGAAATTTAAGTTTGATTAATAATTAAAGAGAAAATTTAATAAAATATTGTGAATCAACCAAATATAATATAGAAAGAGAAAAGTATAAAATCAAATAAATTGATGTACTCAAATAATTTCGTATAAAATTTATAAAATATAAAGAGAATATTCTAATTCTACATTCTACATATTATTTACTATACTAGTCACTACACTACAATAGTACAATATGGCCATATGGCATTAAAGTAAAAAAATGCTAAATATGACGTGTTTTTTTTTTTATTTTATATTAAAATATAAGATCTTTGAATTTATGTCAAAAAAATTTTTTTGGCATTATTTTTTAAAATAGAATTCTTTTTTTAACAGAATATTTAAGTTTTTAATAATTATTAGATCGAATTAAATGCAAAATGGAATTAATATTTGAAGATTTTTAATATCTTTCAAAATTACTTGGTATTATTCGATTTATTATAAAGTAAATATGAATTTGATAAAAATTTCCTGTTATTGATTGCAGAATTTTTGTTGTTATTTTGTTATACATTATTACTTGTTATACATTATTTTAATGTATAATATTTTCATATTACACGCATTATTAATTGCTGGTGTTCAAACTTGCATTTTTTATTTCCTTTGTTCAAAGTCATCTATACGAATAGTATACATATGCGATTTAAAATAAATTGTTATATTACATATATAATCAAATATTCGAACTCGAAATTTATTTAAATATTTTTGTAAAATGTAAAAGTAGTAAGATATATTTTGTGTTATCTTTTCTGGCACAATTTAATTCTTTGGAAAATAATTTTTTGAGAAAATAATTAATTAGTTTCGTGAATTAAAATGTAAACAAGAGAAAGAAAATAATATAAGTTTCCCACATTTTATTGTTACAAAATTACCACAAATTATTATTTACATACATAGAATCAGATTTGAAGTCAGAAAAGAACTCAGAAGTTAAAATCATAAAACTTTAAAGATTTGTGCAAACAACAATATTAATAAATTTTTTTATAAAAACGGTTGCAACATTTGCAGCTACAAAGAGAAAATTCATGAAAAATACAAAAAATTCTTTGTGGTTTTGTAGTCTTCCTCTCTTGTTTTTTAGGCCGGTCGGTTTTTATAAAAATTTAAAAATGCTTAATTAAATGGGAATTTTTGTATTTTTGTTTTGAAAAGAGAATTATAAAAATTAAAAAAAGAAAGGAATAAATTTATAATAAAGATAAAACAAAGAGTAAAGAAAATAAAAATAAAATTTATTCTTGTCTTTTTTTTTTCTGTTTTGTTTTCAATTTTCTCTATGTAGGTTCATGTGTTATGTTGTGTATTGTAGAGTGCACGCCATGCACTTATACATCATTCTTTTCTTTTTTGTATTATAAATATTTTTTTTAGTGTTTCTTTTTTTTTCCTTCTTTACTATTAAAAGCTTTAAACTTTTATTTCGGAATCTAAACGCTATAAAATTTATGCAATTATGTATGCGTACATATTGTATTTTATATACATTAATATGAAATATGTATTCAAAAATGAAATTAGATATATCGATATTCCATACATACACTTATACATATTTTCAAGCTTAGGTTGTGTACACAACGAGCTTTACTTACAAAAATGCATTTTATTTTGTTGATTTCAGTAAAATGAAGAATAATAAATTTATATCTCTTAATTTTTAGTTTCTGTTTACTCTCTTGAAATTTTTTCTTCCTTCTTACAGTTTGCCGCTTTTTAAGTACATATATTCATTAATGCATTATGATTACTGTATGTGTGTATATTCAACTCCAAAAAATGTTCCATAAAGTTTATACACATACTATACACATACATTTTTCATTTATTATAGAACAAATTGCGCTTTCATCCACAAAAATTGTCATAATATTTAGCAACTTTATTTATCAACATTTTCTTATTTCCCTCAATAATATATTTGTTATTGTCACATTGTAAAAGATGGAAAAAATATATACAGTAGGTAGTAAATATACAGTAGGTTAATAAAATTTTAGAACAAAAAATAAATGATAGAGCATTCTTAATTGAATAAAATTTAGATTTTGTTTTTGAATTCTCACGATTAACATATAAAATGTTGGATATTTTTTGCGTTTTAGTTAAATAAAATAGTTAAAAGTTTTTTTGAGTCTTAGGAATTCTCTTTTCGAAGCAGAAATTTACTACAAAGCTATTTAATTGTAAAGTGAGACATTTCAGCCTAATTTTTACATCTTTATTTGATTTGAAAAACTAACATATATAATTAGGAAAATTATATAACGGCCATAGAGTTATTTCTGGGGACGACATTATAAAACCAATTTCTTGTTCTTTTTTTTAATATTTTTAAATAAAATGCTTTTTTAATTTTTTTATTGTAAAAATTATTTAAAAATATAAATTATCTATTCTATCGATATTACATTTTGTATATATTAAATATAAAAAGGAAAAAAATTGATTAAAAAATTGTATAAATTTAGTTTAATACCTTAATGCTAAAAAAAAAACAATTAAAAAATAATTTTAAGTATTGTATAATTTAAATACTGTAATTGACTTAAAATCAATCTACTATTAGTTACAACAAAAACAACCTATACTTGGTAATGCGTTTACAACATTCTTATACTTAAGCATAATTATAATAAAAAAGAGGCACATTTTTAATAAAAAAAAAAATTATTGTATAATATAATTTTAAAATTATGAACATTTTTTTTTTGTTTGATTTTTACGTCCATAAGTAATTTGGCATAAGACCTTCTTTACTTATACTTGGCGGTGTTAATTTCTCTAAATTTAGAAAATCTAATGGTAAATGAACTAAAAATCCCTAAAATATATAAAAATAAATATATTAGTATTTTAAATTATTAATTAATTAAGTAAATTATAATATTAATTTTAAAATATACCTGAATATCTGCTATACGTTTTACAGTATAATCAAAATCTGTTTCAATTAATGGCGGTTCATTTAAATATTTTTGTAAATCATCAAATGTTTTAACATTATCAGTTGGTATACATTTAAATGCTTCATCATATATAATGGTATTTCTTAATGATGTTCTTTTCCATATTCCATTCCAGAACGTATCAATAATAGGATCAACAATATCGAATTTAATTTTATTTGGCCCTGGTTCTAACATACCTAAATGCTCCGAAAATAAATATTTACGTAATCGACCAGCAAATAAACCACTTGGATGTGGTTCACCATTCATTCGTCCATCTTCAAACATTATATCAGTTATTATAACTGCAATTTCAGAATCTCTAGATCCAATTAATGAACGATCATTTATATTAGCTGAACCACAAATAACAACACGATCATCAGCAATCAATAATTTGGAATGAACATATATTAATTCAGTGATAGGAGTATCATTTAAGACAGCATGTGTTCTTAAACTATGAAATGTTATATATTCTTCAGGATTTTTAATACCAGCTTCTTTAAGACGATATAAAATCGAATTTTTACCCCTAAAATCAAAATAATAGGTTTTGAAATTTCCTAGAATATAGAAACGTGAAAAAAAAAGAAACGCCATATACCTGCTAATTGATGCGTAATTCCAATGCGTAATAGCTCTCAAAGCATTACCACTAGCACCACCAATATCACCTTCAAATCCAGGCAGTAATGGCATTATTACAAAAACTCTAAATACTTTACGTTCGCTAAAATTATAAAAGGAAATGCTTCAGTAAAATTATTATACTTATTAACAATATATTTTACTTATGAGCTCTAACTATTCTTTTAAATAATGTTTCACCAATTTGATTTCGAACACCTAAATTTCCATTACTCATTTGTAAAGTAATAAAAAATTGATTTTCAATATAAATGTAATGTTGTGCTCTTGTTATTGTTTCAACATAAGCGTCATGTATACTCTGTTCAACTAAATCATTTTCAATAAAACCGCAACTCCAACTTTCTACACTTCTAAGCACCTGACATGTTACTGTTTCTAAGGACATAGATGATAAAAACTTTTCATTGTATCTAATATCATTGTAAGACTTTGGCATTAAATATGGAAATGATTGATTGGCTCGGTTTTTTTCTAATTTGGCTGCATTCCATCGCTGTATAAAATGACGTGCAACATCACGTGCAGATTCTCCTATAACCATCATACCAATATCATGCCATGGCATCCTTGGTGTTGTGGTTCTATCGACAAGATCTAAAAATATTTTAGAAATAATTTAAAATATTAATTGTATTTCTATACGGAACACAGCCATTGTACCTTGATACGGGGCTTCTAAACACGCAAAATCTTTCATTATAAAATTTGCATAGTCTTTTCCGAACCAATATTTTGCTTCACCAAAATATTCTGAAGCCACCTTTGTCTGATGTGGAGTTGGATCTTCAACGCCTCCACGTTTTGCCATTTCAATTTCATGACTTGAAAAAAATAAACTTTTCGTATCATTAGATGGTGAGACGGCAGGACTTTTATTACCAATTTTCATGGACATTTTTTCTTTTCCCTTTTTCATATTATCGATCATATTATCTTTAAATTTTTCTAAATATTTTTTCCTCTCCATTTCAGGTGTGTCCTGTTTTATATTCTCAGCTAATTTTGCATCTTCATTTCCATATGCAGATGGCATATACAAATGTTCACCTGGAGATAATTGTGGTAAGTTTTGTTGTGATTCATAATCTTGAAAATCGATAGTAACATTTCTTGAGCGTTGCGAACTTATTGCTGAATCGGCATCATCAAAATATTTGTTGTCTTTACTACAAATTCAATTAAAAATTAATGAAAATAAAATTAAAAAGCAAAACATTTTTCTTTTTACCTCTTTTTTATACTTGAAGTTGTTATACTACCCATATCAGTTAATCGATGTCTATGATCATCCCATCTACCATAACATAAATCGATGCCACCAACAAAAGCGTAAGTTTGATCAACAACTACAATCTTTTCGTGATGTGCCCATAATAAAACACCAGCTCTAGCATGATCTGGATGTCGTATAACTTTAATATTTTCATGGGTCATATGTAATTTTTGTTTACTATAATAACTATTAATTCCTAAAGCAGCTTCAACTTCTTTATATAACAAAACGAATACTCGAACTCCTTGACTTGCTTTTCTATGTAATATTCTATCTAATCTCCAATAATCACCATCAATTATTGGTCGTTTCATATAAATTTCGGGACTTAACCACCAATCGGCAATATAAATTTCTTCAGTTGCTAGTTCCATTGCATCAGCTACAGTTCTCATATAATTAGAACCATCAACAAACCAACGAGCTTTAATGTATGATCTTTGTGGTGCGAATGAATTGTAAGGATTCGGATGTGTAAAATCTTTGGCTTTAAAAATTAAATAAAATTTAAATTGAAAAAAATTCTTTTAATGGTTTTTACTAAAATATTATACCATGAGTATTAGACATTAATTTTAAATATGAAAGCCAATCTTTTGCTTTTCTTCTTGTCCAACATTTTAATACCAAATGTCGATTATATGTTAAAATTTGTAATCCACGTCGCATACCAGTTTGATAAATACCCGTTGAAACATCAAATCCTTGGTCAAATAGAACAACACATCTACAAAAAATAATAAGAAATTCCTTTTATGTATCATTGGGTCTCAAAGTGCATATTCTTTATGTAACAAAATTATTTATTTACCTTATTTCACCATCACTTGGCCTCAAATAACCAAAACAAGTTTCTTTAACAAATAACCAACGATTTCTCCATTTACCACATAAAACGTCTGAACAAAAATAATTACAACGAACACAACATCTTCCATGAAAACAACCAAAACAATTACAGCCAACTTGACCAGGACGAGTCGATCCTGTTCTTTTTAAAATTGCACCTTCCTTACCTTTTATTCCCAGGCCGGAAACAAAGGAAAGATTTGAAACTTCTAAAAATTTAATCTGTAATTTTAATAAAAACAAATATTAAGTCATGTTTTACACAATTGTGGACAAGGCAAAGTATTAAATATAAATAAATAATAGCCGATCCAAGCTAAATTTAGAGTAACAATTTGAATATTTCTCTAATTTTATACTCACTGTCTCATGATGATTCCGATATAAGCTTATATTTAGTAAATTATATAAATATTCTTCTAACTGTTTTATTCTCGTTGGTAATGATTCAACAGTAATTAAAGTTTCTGGACGATTTGGAAAACGAGGTAATTTTTTCTTTGACTTTTTTGTCGTATTTTTAACTAAACTACTTCCCGGACTATTAATATTTGAATCGATTGTATTAGAATTACTATTAAGATTACGATCATTTTCTAAAAATTCTGGTGTAATACTATTAACATTATTGAATTCTCCACTTAATGGTGCTAAGGGTGTAGAATTTGTACATTCCTTAAATATTTGTTCTTCTCTTTGTATTGTACTTTTAATTGTAGCACGACGTTCACGTTGACTTCTAGTCGGAAATGGAAAATTTAATGATGCTTTAAATACACGTAATTGTTGTTGTAATAGACTAAAATGTTTATAACGTTTCTTTATTTGCCATGTAAAATTTCCATGTGTTAATTCAATTGTATATCTAAAAAATATAAGTAAAAAAATAATAATAATATTTTTTAAAAATAATCAAAAATTATGTAAATAATTTGAAACTTACAAATTTGGATTTAATAAATGTGTTGTTGCATTTCTTTCATTATCAACAATTTTCACTTGAATTTCTAAATTTGGCATAAAAATTTTCCTTGAAAATGATGTAAATTTAATTGGTGTACCATAAATTGATGTAAATGGTATTTCATATTTTGAATTATTATCAATACCATTAATATTATTGTCATTACCATCCATCTGATCATTAATATTATTTAAATCATCATCATCATCATCACCACCACTACCATCTTTTTGATTACGTTCAACTAAAATTGGATTATCTCCACCAACTGATATTATTGTTAGAGAATCTGGTACTTCAAGTGTTTCATCATATTCAGATTCTAATGATAAATGCATTTCTTGTAAAAAATTTATTTGATGATGTATTTTTATTGCATTTTCAGATCCAGTTACCGGTTCATCATCGGTACCTTCTAATGAAGATGAATCATTATTATCAGCACCACCATTACGTATACCTTCTGTTGATGATCTAGACATTTCAGCTTCTACAAATATATAAAAATATAATTGAATAATTTAATACAAAAATTATTTTGAAAATTTTGTAATTAATTGTAAGATTAAAATAATTTTAATATGTAATTACGCCAACAAAGACATTGTTCGGAAGACATTTTAAATTTTTTAATACAAATAATTTTTTTTTAAATAATATTGAAAAGTAACAAGTATTTTAACTGTTTAATATAAAAGAAATTAAAAATTTGTTTTCTAAATTCTTAAAAAAAATGAATAATTTTCAATTTTTTAAATATAGTACCTATATTTATACATTATATAACCGCATTAATTAAATATTATATAAAAAATTTTATATAATTTGAAAAAAACCTCATGTGTATAACAGTTACGTTTATGGAATATTAATAAAATATTATTATATTTTACCACGGTTATTGATTTACAAAAAGCGTGGCGAATGCCAATTGTCAACGTTTGTGTTACAATAATAAGTAAATATTTGAAAATATACATATACATATACATATGTATATGGTAGTTACATAAAATAAAATTTTGAAGTTCTATAAATAGTATACAATACAAAAATTGTTAAAAATAATAGAACAGTTATGAAAAATTTTGAATTTTATTTTGTACATTTTTAAAAATGGCTTATTACTAACGGCGTCATGTGTGAAATATTAATTGTTTACCCATAATATTTCAACAATCACAAATAACAAGATCTTGTGATTTAAATAAATATTTTATGACTCATATAACCCGTATGCTAGATTAACTTATTAGCTGTACGGACTGCAGTCTAAGATTACGCTTACGCGAGATATCACAAAAGAAAACGTTGAGCAAGCAGTAAAGCTTATTAATCGTTTTGTAAGAAAAACTGTAGTACAGTTAATGGATTTTATATTAAAATTTAAAAAAAATATTTTCTTAGCTAGTAAATTCAGCTCCGATCATAATACCTTTTTTTTACAATTTTTCCAAATCATTAAAGCAATAAATTAGTGTAAACTTTTGAAAATAGTGATTAATTTTTGCATATCATTTATTTATTTAAAAGGTTACTAACAATTTGACTGTAAAGCTGTGGTTGTATAACCCATACCTGTATTAATAATAATAATAATATAGGAAAATTATCATGTCAACTACACAATTTAGTTATAATTATTACCACTCATAATCGGACAAAGCGCTATACCTTTATTATACAAACAGTACTTATTCACAATGGATCAAAAATATAAATAAATTTATATTGCACTTTATATTCAATTAAAATAAAATTTTATGGATTACTTAAGTTTAAGTGATTCATAAAAATTTTGAATGCATTTTTAAAAGTAACAATAATTTTTTAATTAATCCTTTATTGTTATATTATTCTTTTGTTCTAAATATAAATATATACATATAAATAAATAAAAAATAAAGTATAAAGCAAAAAAATTAAATTATTTATTTATTAAAATAACCGTGACCATACAAAAATTAAAATTAATCCAAATTGAATATTTTATGCTTTAAAAACACAAAATTATTTACTCTTAGCATATTAAAATTTTGTTTTATAATATTCATAAAATATTTTATGTAAATTTTGTATTACAGATTAATATTATATAATCTCACAATGCCGTAATAAACATTTAAAATAAATTCGGAAAATACCCAAACAATTAATTCACAGTAGCGTTTATTTTAACATTTTGTATTTGCATTACATCTATTCAGTATTTAATATTACAGGGTATAAGAATATTTACGAAAAAAATTATAATAATTTACGAGATTATAAAATTATAATAAATTTCCGTAATATGTGTTATATTTAATAGAAACAATTAACTAAATCCAATATGAAATAAGAAATATTGCATTTTACGGGTACGGCCCTGTATAACAATCTCAATACATTTTGTATATTAATAATACGTATATACAAGATAAATTTTTCCAAAAGAATATTTACCAAAGATTACCTAATCACGTGTGCCAACATTTACTGTGATTACTTATATATTTCTATTTTTAAATGAATTTATCATAATATAACATTTACATATGCATATAGTATTATATTCAATGATTCATGAATTATTTTAAAAGTTATAAGCTTACAAAATATTTTTGTAATAAAAAATTATGTTTTATGTAGTATATAATCTACGAATTGTCTTATTGCAGAATAAAATTTCATAAATTTTAATTTAAAGAAACTTATAACTTCTTATATACTCCAATGTATAACTTCATCACATCAATATAATACCGAAATAAATTGAGAAACAATAAATCAAATTTTTGACAGAATGGTTATAAGAAATTTTTGACAGAACGGTTAAATTAATAACAATTTGAATAATGAATTATAATATTAAAACTCTATAATTCAAGTTTTTCGATTTTATCTTGTAACGGCAGAAATAATAACTAATTTATAATATTGATTAAAATCTGTAAGACGTTTGTGACAGAAATTTCATAATTTTTGACACAATTGGGGCACGTGCAACAAATACATATATGAAAAATTCAAAAATTTACAAATATTTCCTCCAAATTTTTCTGTTGACAAAATTTTTTCTTCTTTCACATAAAATTTTTTAAGGGGTAGCAGAATTGAAAAACTTTCTAGCAAATACAATTTTTTTTTTTACTTTTACAGTGTTCATCTCTGAAAAGTTTCACTGTATAACAAATATTCTAAATTATAATAGAATAAAAACTTGTTTTACTTTACAAATTAAATTAAATATGAATTTAATTTTTTTAATTATTCATAGGTATAAGATTATTTAATATTTTTAATAATATATGCACGATTTACGTAATTAATACTTGTGAAGCATTTGTGAAGCATGAGGCAATATTAATCGTAAAATCTTTATACATATGTATTAAACCGTTATTAATTAAAATTACAATAATTTTATAAGTATGTAATCTAATACAATTATAGACTATACAGAAAACCTAGCTAAACTTGTGAAAATTTCAACCTATATTGTTAAGCACACAAAAATATTTCGAAAATCTTATTTGTACAATTCAAATTTTAAAATAATGTTCACATTCTTATTATACAATAATAAATTGTAAAATTAGAATACTAAATATTTAATAATTAAATTCAGTAGATCATTGCACAAAAAAATTTATTAAATATTCGCGATTAAATATATGGATGGGTGAATTTTTGAATTATTATTTATAGTGCTTAGCTTTCTATTGGTTTTAAAATATTTAATGTTTACATATTAATGTGTAAATATACGTAATATATAGCCTATAAAAATATTGTAAATTTACAATACTTGTAAATTTAAAAATATTCGGAATTCCCTAGCGTAATAAATCATGCAGGTGAATAAATTTTCTGACCTAATTGATCTGGTAACCTTGAAGATTATGTTAATTATACAACTTATAATTTATTAATTATATAAAATTGCAAAACTTATACATACATATACATATTGGTTTTTTAATTTGCATGTCTATACAACTGTATATATGTATATCCACATGATTTGATAAGATTAAACAAAAGTATGGACAAATAAATTATTAATAATCATCGAAATTTGAAAATGTTATAAAAATTTCATTAGACAAATAAACAAAATTAAGTAAGAAGATTTCAAAAATATTAAATTTTTTTTTTATTAAATACTTAAGAAAATTAAGTATTTTCGTATGTATACATATATGATTAAATATATGTATACGTATACTAAAGTTTTATTATTTTAAAAATATACCCTTATACGTATACAAGTCTTAACGTATAACAAGTAAACATTATACACACAATAGCTGTACTTTTAATTATCGTAATTTACGTAAGTGGTCTTAAGCATAATTAAGTACAAGTATCTAACAATGGTGCTTATTGTATTTATAATAGATTAAAGACACAATAAATATGATTAAAAATAAAAAAACAAAAAATTGATTTAAAAACAAAAAGATGTACAAAAAAAAAATTAATTTAAATTTTGGGAAATTTTGCAATAGAATGGAAAGGCGTTGGCAACCTTTTTCTCTTTTTTTTCGATCAATGACATTTTATAACATGAAATTTTTGTTTTGCAAATGCGGTATTCAAATTTTAATGTGAAAAAAATCAAAGTGAAAATTAAATGTTAAATTAAATACAAAAAATTAGTCTTATGTTATACGAGGAACAATTTCATTGGAACAACAGGTAACAAATAAACGTATTGAGCATAATAAATCTTTTAACTTGAACAACCTACAAAATCCATACAAAATTTCGCCAGAACTGTTGTAAAATTTTCATTCGTCCATTCTAGCCAAAAACTAATGTCGAATATATTATATATGAAAATTATTGAATGTGTCACCTTAAAAATTTGAATTCGACAAACAACTTGAAAAGTTTTTTTTTAAAAGTACATTTGTACAAAATTTATTTTTCAACGACCACCTTGAAATTTTGTTGTTTCCATTTTGATTATGGCCTTAATGTATGTGCACTGTATTAATATGTATGTGTTAGAGAAAGTAGCTGTCAAGATATAATTTTCTTAAATTTTTTCCAAATTTTATATTTCTTAAATTTTTATATTCCGATATGTGAAAACTAAATAAGTGTAAAAGAGAAATATACACAAAGATCTGCTGCATTACGATATTCCGCCACTAGATTGCCCTAAACACCATATAGTAACATTTCCGTGTTAATTCATATGTCAAATTTTTAAAAAGAATTTTCATTATATTTTTTATTATTTAAAAAATTTAATTTAATTTCATGATTTTATTGGGAATTTAGACGTTTTTATTTGCATAAATAAACACAAATGCTTTGGACATAATTGTACATGAATGTATGTATTTTCATTATTCTATTATCGTAAATAATTTAGATGCTGCACATGCTAGTATAAGAACTTTTTGAATTAAGATTGATTTCCAAGGTTAGCCATTTTCAGGAGGACTTCCAAGTGTCCGAACCTCCCCTTTAAGCAAGTCAAACCAAGGATATGTGTGATTTGCAAATAAACATTTTATAGAACTCATAATAACATCTGTTGTATATCATGAGAAACTTTAATGTGACAGCAATTTTAAATATAATAATTACAACATGTGAATACATTGGCCCTACACATACCCTGTCAACAATATAATCAAACATAATTGTAGAATAAATCTTGACAAAAAAGAAATAATAAAGATTATAAAAAAAGTCATATATACACAAACAATTTTTGTTTAAAAAAAGATTGTTTATGATAGACGCTAATTCAAAGCATTAAATTACACAAAAATAATAAAAATAAATAAATTTTGCAGATTCATAAAAAAAAACAAAATTTTTTTTTCAATGTTATACAAACACACCCTTAAAATAGCATTTTTTTCATACATGCCTTGTGTAAATACAACCAAGTCGTAATCAAAAATTATGTCATAAACTAACACGCAAATAATATTATAATTTGTATAACTGTAATTTTATGTTTTAATTTTTAGAGAGAATAAGTACAAAAATATTAAAAATGAAAAATGATAAGAAAAAATTGTGTCATTTTTTTTTTATTTTAAAATTTTTCTTCAATTAAAATTTTAATTAATTTTTAATTACTTTTATTTTATTTTGTTTCTATTTTTAATAATATGTAATTTTCTTATACAAGATTAGAATTGTAATCGACTTGTTTTCAAACAAGTATAATGTTACAAGTGCAAAATGTGACAGAATGGAATTAATATAATTTTTAAAAAGATTAGAACTTTGTATGACATACAAAAATCGTTGCACATGAAACGATTTTAGTATGTCATACAAATAAGTAATACGACAAGCAACAAAAAAATAACATTCCTAAATGCTAACAAGAATATTTCGGTGTCGCGTTAAACGAATAAATTGCTGTTGTCTTAACTTGTCGAAATTATTGTTATACTTCCTCTATTTTTTGATATACATAAGCATAAATCGTATTTTATAATTGACTTTTACTGCTACACATTTCAATTTACGAGTATTATAAAATTTCCGGTAATAAACAAATCTCTGTTTAAATTAGCATGAAAATACGCTCTCAGTATGACAGTATTCTTAAATACTAATTAGTAGAATAAAAACAGTAGAGCACTATAATCTTTTACTTTTTTTAATAATCATTAATTATTTATTCTATCTCATTCCATTCTATATTATTATTTATTTATTTTAGAAAAAAAATACAACTAAAGTTTATTTATTGTATAAGTTTTTTGTTTTATCTATAAAAATCTGAGAATTTAAATTTCAAATTAATTTGCAAAGCTTTATACTTGTGTTTTTTTTTGTAATCTTAAAATTCAATGAAATAATAAACAATTTACTATTAATATAAAAAAAAATGTTAATTACTTGATATTTATATAACATGTGATTAAAATTGTTTATAAAAATCAATTCATTTACATATATACATTATAAATTTTATGTATTCGAATAGTATATACAGAAGAGTCTCAGTCATGCAAACATGTATGATATGCAACATGTATGATATGCAACATGTATGATATGCAACATATATCGATCTCATACAATATTGTATTGAATTCTAAATTGCTGTCATACATGTATGAAATTACTAAAGAATACAAATCATAGTTTACAAGTGTCATACAAATTATAGTTTACAAGTTTTAATAAAAATGAAGGTAGATCGTCATGAAAGTTCATTGTCAAAAAATAAACATAATACTTCGATTAAAGGTAAATTAAGAAAAATTAAATATAAATACTTACAGCATTCATATTTAATTTTTTTAATAAGTTACTAATATAACAGTATAAAACAAAAATATACTTCATATTTATACGCCGTGCAGACATATTATATATGTATATGTATTCGTACGAGTATATGTATGTAAATACATAAAATATAGGTAAATATCACATGAATTTATGCAAAAATTAAAAACAAAATGTCAGCAATTTTTGTCTTTTTACTTAAAAAAAATAATTATAATAATTATAATTAATTTTTTTTTGTATAAAAGAAATTCTTGTAAATTTTTTTTTTCAACTTGATAATGACTTCAATTTTCCTATTTATAAGCACATTATTTACTTTACATTTTAAAATTTACAGTCGAATACATGCATATGGACCCTCATATATATATTTTCACAATACCGCACTGAAATTTTTAAAGAACACCATGAAATTAATTTTTGTAATGCTATAGAAAAAATTCAAGGAAACTGCAGATATACCGGGAACGTGCACCTAAAATTATTTGATGTACTTAATACGCGAACAATTCTAAAAGAAATTCTTAAAAAATTTTAATTTACTATTTAGACTATCAAATAATAAGCGAATATTGTTATAAATGATAATGGTTATTAATTGAAATTAAATTATTTAAATTAATGTAAATAAGTACTAATTCATTTCCCATTCATTTTCTGCATGGGATCAACACTAATCTGTCCATTAAACACCAAAAAATTTTTAACAAAAGGCCAAAAATTTCAAATGATAAATTGAAAAATAAACAAATTGAATTTAAATTTTTTTTCGCAAAAAAAAAAACAAAAATAGAAAAGAATTTATGAAAATAACATAAAATGCCCAAAATATTTTAATTTAAAATCATAAAAAAAAATTTAAATCTCTCAAATACAATCATAAAAATAAACTAGATTGTAAAAAATAATATGTACATATATAAAAATGTATGTTCACTTATGTGTTATGTGCAAAAACACCATACATCACAGATGACATCATATTTTATTAAAATTATAGGCTTTTCTTTGATTTTTAACTTAATAAGCACATTAATTATTCAAAGATTTTTATTCAAGTATGGTATATAGGCCACAAATATCATCAATAACTTCTTTAATTACTAAATTACCCAATCAATTAATCAATCAATTTCAAAAATATTCAATATGCAATTCTATGACAGTAAATATATTTTTTTTTTAAAACAAACAAAATATTCAAAATAATAACAACAAATTTACCTAAATAAATAAACAAATATAACAAGAAGAATTTATTTTCTAAATTGCAACAATCTAAATTTTTAACACGACTCTTATTACTTATTCACTTATTATAAAAATAGCATATTTTGTTTTATATACACATGTTTTGTTGCAATACTACGAGTATGTATGATTTGTTAAAGAAAATTTTCAATACAATTTTGTATTTAAATATTCACAATATGCAATATTCACAATATTAATTATTTATTTAAAAATTATATACACATAAATCTTTAATATTCTTTATTTTTATTGTTTACACAAATTAAATTATAATTAACACGGTCATCGCTTTAAATCTCACATATCATACATTATTGTATCTTATGTATATAAATTTAAAATTCTTTTCGCTAACATTTTATTCAAGAAACAAAAAAAAAAGAGTGAATGCCGATAAAAATGTGTCAGTAAATCAAACATGTTATGCGTACTATCAAACACGTTGTATATGTTATATACAATAATGTATGTATATACGTATAATTGCACATTTATATAATTATTTTACATGAATATATACATAAATATAGATGCTATAAAAGATATTCTTTAAAATTTTTATTAAAATTTAAATACAATGCTTTCAATTTAAATGATCGAGAGAAACTAAAAAATTTACAAAAAAAAATATTTTTGTATTATTTTTAAAATAAAAAAAAATCAAAACAAAATTTATTAAAAAAAAAAAATTTTTTGACTATATTAATAATACAAGATACACATGGTATAACAAATAGTATTTTAGATATATAAGATTGAAAGTACAAAAAAAAAATAATAACAATAATAATAATAAAAATATTATGAGAGAATATTATAAATAAATGAAATCATGTAAAAAATAACAAAAACAAATAAATAAAAAAAATGAAATTATCCTACCCATGCTAGCTATCAATTGAGAAATACTTCGACGATGACGTCGAACATCTTGAATTGAATAACCGCCATCCATATTTACTAGATATTATTTTATATATTAATGCTAATATACTAAAATAAAATTATATATGTAATATCACAATTCAAGGTTTTTGGAAGAAAGAAGAAGAAAAAATATACTTATACTTATATATTTATTTGGATACGTATATATTTCTCTTATTCATGTATTGTTGCCTACTATTTAATCAAACATTATAACATATATGTATGAAAATGTATACACTGTTATAATAAAACTTGTTGTATGTACATATATTATATTATAGACTTTCTGTATTTTATTTATGTATGATTAATACACGATTTTTTTTAAGCTTATTACTGTGCTATATTTTATACATTATCCATTCATCTACAATTATTATTAAGTATATACGAGTATGAATATTTTATCGTGCCGTAATTTATATCAGCTGGTTTAGATTTAAATTGGCGCTTTAAGAATATATATAAATATTATTATTATAATTTTGTTTTTGTCTTCATTTGAATTATTCTTATTAATCAGGATTATTATACAAAACAAAATAATATTTAAAGTTAAGTTTTTTTAATTTTTTAATTGTAAAATTCAATTAGTATAACACTTTATTAGTATTAACCCAAATATTTTATTAAATTATTATACTTATAAGTATGAATAAAATAGAAATTTATTCTATTTTATATATTCTGATTGGGCTATAGGTTAGTAAGTACATGTTTATTTTTTTTTTTCTCTTTTTAACTTATTCAATTATTTTTAAAGCTCTTAATCATATACTCATTAATTTTATTAACATTTTATAATATTTTCTTCTCTTTTCTATTATTATTTTTATTATTATCACCATCAATGTTATTATTTACAATTTTTCTTTAATTTTAAATTTTATACTCATGATATACTATTTAAATTGAAATATTGAATTAAAGCTATAGCTGAGATCACATCACATTAATATAAAATTCATATAAGTATAATAGAACAATATACGTATACTTCGACCTATAAAATGTATATTATTTATTTGATTTTTATTTTATTACAAAAATTTTGTTATATAAATTTATTATATTTCTAGTAATCACAATATTATAAGTATAGTATTTATTCAAAAAAAAAGAAATTAAAAGATCATTGTGATTTGTGACGACTACATAGTGAGAGATGAAATTGAGAAAAATTGAGAAATATTGTCATAATAATTATGATGAATGATTAATCAATAATTTTTATAATAATTTTATATTATTAATTTGAATATTATATTGTTTCATATTAATTTATTAATAAGTTAAAAGAAAGGTGCTGGTGAACAGTATGAAATATTAAATAGTACATATACTTAATAGTATTATTGTCTAAATACTTGTATGACAGTAATAATAGAAAGAATTATACTTATTATTAATTCGTCACTCTTTTTAATTAGCAAGGAAATTTTTTTTCTTTCTTTTATTAATTTGGAAGACACGTTACTCTTTTTTCTCATTATATTTTGCGTTTTTGTTGCGGCAGTAACAATTTATGACGTACAAGAATTACGATATAATTAATTTTATAATTAATTTTATATTAATTTGCACACTAATAATATTATTAATATTTTTTTTTTTTTAATTAACATGGAATTTAAATAATTTTTAAATTTAATATAAGAAAATTATTTTATTTTTTAAATTATATTTTATTATAAATAGAAAATATTGAAATAATTTGTAAAATATATTTTATGCTAATTTATAACCATTTGTAATAATTATATTTTATTTTTTTGTTTTGGGGTTTCTTACTGCTTCACTTATCACCGTTCTTTTCTACATTATTATTATTATTTTTTTTTAAATTTCTCTATTCTATATATATATATAAGCCTGGTATAACAAAATATTTACTTATATACGATATGAAATATTTGAAATCACGACAGTAAATATTTTAATATTCACGACACTTGTTTTTAAATATGTATGTATGTACAATTGCGGTATATACCAAATATAGGTGCGTTTATATTATGTATAAAAATTTTTAAATAATTGATTTTTTCTTATTTCCTTCTTTATTACTTATTAGTGAAAAATTTCTATATTGAATTTGAATTACTACTTTTTCATATATTTTTTTTATCGTTTTTATTCTTAATTAATATTTTATGTTTAAAACTTTTTATTTTTTCAATTTTTGTTTTATTTTTTTTTTTTTTTGTTGATTACATTTTTTAAAACGTGTAAATTTTGAACTTTATCATGTTTTATGTCGGTATATGTCTACATCTAACACATTTTTTTTTCTTTTTTTATTAAATTATAAAATTCAATATAATTTTTATTGAATTTGTATATATATATATATATATATGTATATATAAATAGGTATAGGTATGTGTTACTGAGTTGAGCTTGAGACACTTTAAAAAACAAATAAAAATTTGCAAAAAAAAATTTTCTTTTTATTTTTCATCGAACCAGCTGATTAGATTGCGCGATCCACTATACAATTTTGATTATAAATTTTTTTTTTCCTTTCTTTTCTTCTCTTATATTATATTTTGTTATTGCTATTATTTTCTACTACTTTTATTATTTCTTTTTTCTCTCATTTTTTTTTTCTTCTCAGCGATCCGGTATTTTTATTATAAAGTGTTCAAACTTTGTTGAACTCAAGAAACTAACTAAAATTAGATGGGTAGATAATTAACACAGAAATGTTTATGGGTATTGGGTATAGTTAAAAAAAAAAGCACACATTTTTTTTTTCTTAAATAATTTTGAAAAAAAAAATAAACTTCAATGTTTTCTCTTTTATTTTAATTTTTTTCTTTTTTTTTTTCTGTTGTACTTGGGTTTTTTTTTATTAAAGTAACTGTACGATAACGAAAATAACAAAATAAAAAAAAAAAATTAAAAACTCCGAAGTTGTACTTGCTTTACTTTTGATATTAAAGATACAAATAACATGGAAAAAAAAAAAAATAAACGAAAATTCTGTCGTGTACTTTAAAAAAGTTTTTAATTTTAATCAATAAAAAAAAAATTATAAGAAAAAAGAAAAATAAAGAAAAATTTTTATTTAATAAAGGTAAAACAGAGAAAAAAAAAATTATAAATACGTAAGTGTCACACCTATAAAGTAACACTGTCACAACATGAAATGTGGCAAAAAAATAAAAGAAATAACGGTAAAATGCGATCTCATCTGTACTCTTTTTTGAGGTGGAATATGCAATTTCTTACGGATTCCAAGAAAAATATTTGTAAAATTTTATTTTGTAACTATTGAAGAAAATTACAATTTGTTTTTCAAAATCTGAAGCATTGTCTATCACAATAATCGTATTGCTCACTGTTTAAATCACAAGATATGAATTTTTTTCAGTGAATCTTTTTGAAGTGTTAACGTAACGCAACTCCCATAAACAGGAACAATTTGCTTACAATCAAAATTAACAAAATCATTTCCAATTTAAGTGATTTACTTAAATGGGAGCGTAGTGCTTGTGTCAAAATCTTCCTATACGCATACATTTTAAATTAAGTGATTTAAATGAGTGATGCTCCTACGCAAACATATTGAAATTTTTGATTTTGACAAATTGTGATTTTATTTTTTCGTTTTTTTTTTTCTAATGTCAAATTTATCTGTTTATTGTCAATTCACTTCAAATAAAGCACAAACTTAAAATTTAACAATATGAACAAACTTATTTTGGAAAATAATTTTAAATTTTAAAAACTTAAAAATTTAAGATTTAAATAAATTTTGATATTAAATGTCAGACTACACGTGATGTCTTCAATCCGTTAACTTTTTGCGTATATGCGTATCTACGTACGCATTTAAATAGATCCTTTAACGTTAAATAAATTACACAATGCTAAAATACTAAAATGTTTTCTCTCAGTAAATCTTTTACAATCTCTATCTCTCGCGAAATATAAAATTAAGTAAATGGTTTTTTGTAATGTGAGGCTATTTTTCTATAGGTGCGATTTATATATGCACATACGTATCAGTATTTATAGACAAAACTCTGAGAGAACAAAATGAAAAGAAAAAACAAACCTGTATATTTTAATATACAAATTTGTACAATATATTTCATTACACGTGAATAATTGTTTATTGAGCGATGAAATTAAAATTAAAAAATTATTTTAATATTTTTTATTAATTAGGATATTATTAATTTTTAATTAAGTTTATAATATTCCATTATTATTTTAAATAGGTAATAGGTTATTATATTCACCTTCTCTTCATTTGACGAGTGAAATACCGAGAAAAATAATTATGCCCTAAATTGTACAAAATTAATTAAT